GTTCGCACTTGCAAACCCTAAACCCTCAAGAAAGAAATAAATAGAAATTTGTTGTTCTTGTTAGCCAGCCGGAAACTTTATTTTTCCGGTCAGGATACAACTTTTCCATTTTCTCATAAACCAATGTCCGCTTCAAACCCACGATCCCATCAGCCCGCACCCAGCCCCAGCCCAAACCCTGAAGCCATTACAACTTGTCGCCTTCGTGACGTTCAGCCCGCTCTCGGTTTGGGAAGACTGGGAGGGGCTTTTGTGGGCTTCTATCCGGGCTTAATTAGAAACCCTAAACCCTAAGCAGACAGGGACTGTTGAAGGCGACAGTTTGAAAAGTGCAGGCGCCAGGAGCTTGTGAACCTGCGTAGGGTTTAAGATTTAGGGTTTAGGGTTTAGGGTTAGAATTATGGGCCCCTAACATGGACTCTTGGGCCTTCTAGGGGAAGTCGGGGCAATGTGGGAAGTGACATGTTGTCGAAGACGCCTGTCTGTATGTGGAGCTCGCCGCTGTGCAGTGTGTCCTCGGCGACGCTACGCAGCTCATGTGAGTGCGCTTGCGTCTGTCCGGAGCTTGAAATTCCCCTCGTATGGGAAAGCTCGCGGCCTGATGTTAGGCTGTGTGGCAAATTTGGCCACAGTGGGCCAGCCCAACCAGCCCCGCATCCAGCCAGCCCCGCAATCATCCCAGCCCAACCCACAGCCCCACCTCAGCAGCCCAGGTCAGCCAAGCCCAGCCCGCCCAGCCCCAGCCCAGCCAGCCCACCCCCCAGCCCAGCCGACCCCCAAGTGCTGAAGTTACGGATTGTCGCAAGCGAAGACTCGGGCCCAGAGAAGTTTGAAAAAGCCTGAACAAAGCACTGGTTGCCTGCTCCCCGCAGCCACTCTCGAGCAAACCAGTGTGCCCTCAGCCTCTGCAGTCATCACCTCTTCTGCCAGCGTGGGTCCCAGATTGCGGAGGGCCGCGCCTGAAAAGAGGATGACAATTTTAACCGAACATGCGAGTTTTCGTCGCTGCGCATTACTCAGGCCATGCCGCACTACTACCCTCCTTACGACTGCCAGGCTTCATCCTGAGATCGACCGAAGCACCCCGTCGCAACGACTGCTTCGGCGAGGAGGAGTACTGGCCGGTCTTGTCCCCGGCCCTGCCCAGGTCCGGCGCACACAGCCGCGCTACAGTATCCGCGCCGTTGAGATAGCTAGGAGCAAGCCCAAGGCCAAGGGCAAGACTCAGAATCAGCAGCATGAGTCCACCACTGACAAAGGGGAGCCCGATCAAAGCGGCGACGCCGCAAAGGTCCGGCAGTGCATACACCAGCTCAAAATTGCCGAGACCGAACGAAAGTGGGTCGCCCGACTTGGTTTAATAAGTAAGCATGCTGAACCTAACTGGCCTCATGTTTTTGGTCTAGTGCATTCGTTGATCGTTATGTTACGTTGTGTTGTGAAGTGAAATGAAGGTGACGGCAATGGACGTCGCGCAGCTTGTTAAACAAGTGGCCAGGTGACCATGTTGACGCAGTGGACGGACCCGAAGTGCCTCCGTCTACTCGTCGACAAGTACTTCATGGAGGCACAAAGCCGCCCAGTGCACATTGGATTGATTGTTGTTTTGACGAGTTGAAGTCTGCAGGGCTTGAGTTAGTAGTGAATCTGTGGTGTGTTTGTGCTAGCCCCAGCCCAGCCCAAGCCAGCCCAGCAAAGCCCAGCCGCCCAGCCCAGCCCAGCCCAGC